AGGTTCCTTTTGAAAATTGGGTTGCCATGTCAAAATCCAAGATGGCCACCACCAAAAATATATTTGTAAATTGAGACCCTGACCATTTGAGCAAACTATGCTTTAGATTATTTTATTGTTTATAAGTATAGTTTATGCAAATGATTGGAGTGGCCAAATATTAATATATGGGGGGCCAATGCCACCATTGGCCACCCCTTGGCTCCTCCATTACTCCCTCCACTCACCAGGATACGTCACTGTGCTGGCTCAGACAATAATAATACAAACTCCCTCTGGTCTTCTCCACAGTTTAACTTCTACCCACTTGAATATATTGCACCAACAACATTAAGATTTATGTCATTCTTTGTTCAGTTCCAGTCCAGAAAAACACTCATCTCAAAACTACAAACATTCACTATTAAACCCCTCAGAGACAGGGATGGAGCACTGCTTGTTTTTATTTTCAGATTTTCACATCCAGCAACTTCTGAGATGATCTCACACCAGTTTTTTTCTTCTTCTCTGAACTAAATGTTTAACAAAAAAAAAGTACTCTTACAGCTAAGAGTTAAAATCTATTAGTGGGATGATTGTTGATTATATATAATCTTATCTGGTGAATATCAATCAACCTTTATTTCTACAGGTTAATCCCATTGAGCCTCGAGGACTCATTTACAAGAGAGACCTGATTTCAACAAAGAAAGATGACAACAATGGACAACAGCAACAACAATAAACAATTATAAAAAGTCATGCTGTAGGTTTTTTTTTTTTTTTTTTTTTTTTTTAACAAATAGGAAGGCTAAAAGGGAAAGGTAACAAAACAAAACAAAAAAAACAAACAAAAAAAGACAGCTAGATTTCAAGACAAATGTAGAAAACTAAAAACAGGAACATGTCAGCATTGGACCCTGCCAGGTGTCCAACAGATTCTTAAAGACACTTAGAGAGGTCAAGGTACCTCTTTTTCAATATCTTGTTATATATCTTGAATATCTTGAATATCTTGTTCACGACCCTCCAATGGGATTTAATAGCAATGTGAAGAAAACAACAAGAGTGTGCTCTGTAAGACGAGTGTTGTGAGTCCACACGTGCACGTAAACAGCGTCTGATCTGACTGGATTCTTTGGACGCCACACCTTCTTTATTACTGGCAGTTCTTGTTGACTAATGAAGTCGGCCATGGGCTGATGACTGCTGTCAACAACAGCCTCCTTAGGGTGCCGAGCCGCTCCCGGGCCCTGGACTCATCCGGACCATGCACAGTCAGCATGGTGGCATTGAGGCAGCTGTGGCTGACTGGTTAGAGTGGTCATCCTCCCATGGTAGAGTTGTGGGTTCAATTCCACCACCAGCAGTCACATGCTGAAGTGTCCCTGGGCAAGAGACTAAACAAATCATTGCCTCTGATGTGTGTCCCATCAGATCTAAAGTGCTGGTTAATCTCTTTAAAATGATTTGTTCAGATTAGCTTTGTATATGTAGTAGAGTGCTGTATGAATGTGTGTAGTAGTAGAGGTAAACAAGGCCCAGATTGTGTTGTAGAAAGTGCTTTGAGTATCTTGATTAGATGGAAAGGAGCTATTTATTTTTATTTAACCTTTATTTATAAAGGTTAGTCTCCCAAGGACTTATTTTCAAGTGAGACCTGTTTTAGACAGATAACACATAGTTGTTATAATGTTTTTTTTACAAGCGGGAGGATCTGATTAATATATGTAAAGCTCAAATAACTCCTCCACTACAGCGCCAAATTCCAAATGAGTTGAAAAGGCGGTGCCGTGGATGCATTCCCGTCTACCTGGCGGTGATGCTCGAGTACCTGACCTCCAAGATTCTGGAACTGGCGGGAAACGTGGCTCGTCAACAAGAAGACCAGGATCATCCTCCGACACCTGCAGCTGTCTGTCTGCAATGGCGAGGAGCTCAGCAAGCTGCGGGGAGGAGAGACCATCACTCGGGGGGAGTTCTGCCCAACATTCAGGTGGTCCTGCTCAAGAAGACCGAGAAACCCACCAAGTCCAAGTAGACGGATCAACATCTACAACCAGTTTCTTCAGGTCCACTGTGGGATGGACCACCACAAGAAATCCTTCCTGTCCACAGCCAAACCAGGATGATGAGTTACAACATTTAATTTAGTTTTGGAATTAATAAAATATTTTTTTATTGAATTGAACTGAACTGAATACAGAGAACAATAAACACAAATATGAAGTCACTGGAGAGGCTGGTCCTGAAGCTCGTCAGATCAGTGGTGGAACCATACCTGGACCTCCTCCAGTTTGCATACCAGCCACGCATTGGAGCTGATGACATCAACTACCTGCTGCAGAGCCTACGTGCACCTGGACAGGGCAGGCAGCACTGTAAGAGTCATGTTCTTTGACTTCTCCAGTGCTTTTAACACCATCAGACCTGCTCTACTCTGCAGGAAGCTCCGGGACATGCAGGTGAACGACTCGCTGGTCACCTGGATCAGAGACTACCTCACTGGTCGACCACAGTATGTGAGGCTGCAGAACACCACCTCTGAGCAGTGTAGGAGCTCCTCAAGGGACAGTCCTCTCACCGTTTCTGTTCATCCACTACACCTCGGACTTCAGGTACAACTCACAACCCTGCCATCTGCAGATGTTCTGGATGATTCTGCCATTGTGGGCTGCATCACTGGTGACCAGGAAGCTGAATACAGAGGTGTGGTGGACAGAACCACCTGAAGCTCAACGTTGGAAAAACTAAGAGCTGTAGGTGGACTACAGGAAGAAGATCAGCACCCCCCAACCCTATCAACATCAAGGGTACTAAGGTGGACACTGTGGACTGCTACACATACCCGGGGGTCCACCTAGACAATAAACTGGACTGGACAGCTAACACCAACATCTTCTACAAGAAAAGACAGAGTCACCTTTTTCTTCTGAGGAGACTCAGATCCTTTAACATCTGCAGGACCATGCTGCAGATGTTTTACCACTCAGTGGTCTCCAACATCTTCTTCTACACTGTGGTGTGCTGGGGCAGCAGGGTGAAGAAAGCTGGCTCAGTTCTGGGAGTGGAGCTGCAGTCTCTGACA